CTCTCTCTTTCTCTCTCTCTCTCTCTCTCTATCTCTCTCTCTCACTCACTCCTTCTACCCCTTCACTCTTCCTCCTTCCCCCTTTTCTATCAATCTCTCCCTCCCCAGCCGTCTCTCTTTCTATTTCTCTTTCTGGTTCCCTCCCTCCTTCCCTCACTGCATGACACCACAGTGACCAAACCAATGAAGTGGATCGTTGGCGGGTGCTCTGGTGTGGTTTGATTCTTCTTTCCTATCAAACATCTATCGTCTTTATCTCCCCTCTTTCTTTTTTGTGTTTGTTACTCTCTTTTAGTACCTTTAATCGTCGGCACTTATAATAACTTATTGTGTTGCAAGTGCCGTAAAACTCTTACTAAAACTTTTAAAAACCCAATGAAAACCGTGTTGACCTTCTGTGACCCATGACCATGACCTGTGACTGCATGAACCTCAACTTGCCTTGCAACCTTTGTCATTCTGTGACCTTTACCAGCCTTTGACATTTGTCAGTGTATGACCTTTACTCCCTTTAATGTTTGTCATTCTGTGACTTTTTGCCATTCTGTGTCCTTAACCCTCCTTTGACCTGTGTCATTCTGTGACCTTTGGCATTCTGTGACCCTTGTCATTCTGTGACCTTTACCTGCCCATGACCTTGTGCATGCTGTGTCACCCCTGACCCTGTGTGTTCTGACCCCCGTGACCCCCTGTAGGAGAACCAGCTAGAGCTGAGCCGCATGCAGGAGGAGAAGCAGCTGGTGGCAGACAACATGCAGAAGTCGGCAGACGACATCTCTTCGCAGCTGGCAGAGGTCACCAGCTTCAACTCTAAGCTGGAGAAACAGAAAGAGGTTCGCAGACCTTTTGTGTTGAGCAGTGGCACTGTATTCACTCAGATATCTTGCGGAGTGTGTGTTTGTGTGTGTGTGTGTGTGTGTGTGTGAGCTGTTTGAAACTTGTATCTAATGGCTTTCATGTTGAAAGAGGTAGGTGGGTGGTTGGCGGGTGGTCTGCTTCTTCTTTCCTATCAAACATCTATCGTCCTTTTCTCCCCTTCTTCTTTTTTATGTTTGTTACTCTCTTGTAACACCTCTAATCTTCTGGCGCTCATATGACCTTATGCAGCTGCGAGCGCTGTAAAACCTCTACTAAAACTAAAAAGGAGAAGGTAAGTTTGTTCCGTCAAAATCCACATAGTGTGAAAGTGAAATCGTTGTCTGTTTCAGAACGGAGATAAAGTCAAGTTGCCCTTTTCCCGGATAAGCGCAAATTCCAAGATTTATGAAATTGTCTGGACTTTGCTCTTTATTTGAAGATAGTCTTGACACAAGATGTGTTAGCCGGTATGATCCGTAAATTTTGGGTCCCTGTGCACGACATTCCAGCAGGTCCGAAAAGTTCCGGATTTTTTTTTATCGTAGCTAGTTGGCACCCCAATAAAGTTTTCATCTCTGTGTAGTCAGTGTTCATTGTCTTTTAAGTCCTCCACTCAAAAGCTCCCCTGACTTGGCCACTCCTCCCTCCTCCTCAGGCTTATTCCTTTCAGTTCACTATCTCAGTCTTATGTGAGATATGCAGCGTTGCAGTCTGTTAATGCTGTTATTCAAATACTTCTGTCCCAGTGACTGCCTGCAGCAACCGCTTTTTTTCTGTGTGGCATGTTCTTAACTTTGATGTGAAGCACACGAGGGAAACCCCATAATCCGTTCTCTCCCTAAGGAGATGCATAGTAGCTGCCAACCAGTAGGTAAAAAAGCGTATTTTATCCTTTTTTGGGGAATCAAAGTACAAGTAGATTTTTGTGTCAGAAAAGGAAAACGCATTCTGTTTTCTAGTATTGCTCCTCACAGGCTTGCAGATGCTGAAAAAAAATTATTAACCTTGAAGACCGGATTTGCGAGCCATAATGAGAAAAAAGCCCATTTGTCTTTGGGAGAGATCTTTTCTTTTTTGATTAGCTTGAAATAATTGAATGTAGAAAAGTGTGTGTGAAGAGTTTGAGGGGGGTTACTAGGTCAATGCCTACCGTCTTGACCCACCGTGTTGATAGAGTCTGGGTTGTTGGGGTTTTTTTGTTGAAAAGTTGGCAGCTGTGGTGATGGTTTTGTGTTGTCATCCTGCCATGTGTTGCGGTCATCTGTGTGGAAGATTGCTACTGCTCCTCCTGCTTCGCTCTTGAACTTTGAACCTGGATTCGTTCAGAACATGACGCTGTTCTCTGCTGTCCCTTAGCCTGGCATTCGAGTTCCTTGAGCATGCTGCCTTTTTGCCCCCCTCAATCCACCCTGTGTGGTTGGCTGTCGAGATGCATGTAAGTAACCCCTTACCCCCTCCCCGGCATGTCGAGTGCAGCCAGTGATGTGTGACCTCCTGGTGTGTCTGTGGTTGTCTCAGACATTTCAATTTTCTCTCATGAACTTTGACCTCTGTGTACAGGCCTCGGGGCTGGATGGGTTTTACAACAGCTGGCAAATGGCTCAGGTAGGATGTGTGTGTGTGTGTGTGTGAGTGATGGTGTGTGTGTGTGTGTGTGCGAGTGACAGGGTGTGTGTGTGACAGGGTGTGTGAGGATGGCAGGGGATGTGTGTACGAGTGTGTGTGTGTATTGGGGTGGGGGTGGGGGGATGTTTGATTGTACGTCTGTTTGGCCTTTGGAAGGTTGATAATGACAACTTGTGTACTGGTGTCTGTAGACCACTAACTTAAAAAAACAAACAAGAACCAACTTGTGTCTTGGGTGGCTGTTTGCTTTACTGCAGGAAAGATTTGGATCCTATTTCTTAGAAGGTGTTTTATGGTGAACCTCTCTAATTTGTATGACTTCTTCAACATTTTAAACCCTCTGTACCGAAATGTCGTTATGCACACCACGCGGCAAATACCCGGAGTGCCGAAATATAGACTTAAATGAGATAAATAGATAAGGTCAACAACAATAAAATGAGCTGGAGAAAAGTATGCCTAAAAGTTCTATGAAATTGCTCAGGATATTTAGGGTATATGAGCTGGTGGTTTTGTTATCTGGGCTGGCCCATTGTTACTCCGTTCCCTTGATAAGACGATAGTGTAGCTGATGAGGCAATAATATTGTGCACCAAGGCAATGAGTGGAAAGAACATACCCAGCAGGAACACCCACCAACCTCTTTTGTCTGTACTGATCTAGAAACTGCCTATGTGCAGTTAAAGATGCTGGGCTTTGATAATAAATAGATTTTAGGTAATGATTTCTTTTTTTGATAATAAATAGTTCTTTGATTATAAATTGCTTTTAATAAATCGCCCTTTAATAATAGATTTTACGCAGGTAATAAATTGTTCTTAGCTCATTGACAAGACTTTGGTAGCTAAGGTCACATTTTACTATTGTAGCATTTTGTTGCATGAAGCAGAATAAGTTCAATTCCAAAGTGGGGAAAAGTTTTATCGAGTATCTTGGATCTTTCTTTGGGAATTTTGTATTTCTCTCAGCCCAGGTTGGCCCTGATCTAAACTGTGTCGATGGGGATGTAAGAACGCCTATATTTTGCTTTGAGCATGCCGAAACATCTTGGTTAATTTTTTTTCCCTTTTCAGGGTCTGGAAGAACGAGTCAAGTCTATGGAGGATACCAACTCTCGCTTGGAGTCGGACCTCGAGTCGAAATCAGGGGAAGTAACTTCTCTGTCGACGCAGCTGCGAGAGACGACGGACCGGGCCCAGGAGAAGGAACAAGAACTCTCGGAGGCGGTTGACTCATTGAAACTGCAGCTGGAGCAGACACAGGGGGAGAGAGACAGCACAGAGGCTAGGCTCAGTGAGTTATGGGACTTGTCTTCTTCTTGTTCGTCATTGTCGTCATCTTCCTCTTCTTATTCTTTTTCTTCATCGTCGTTGTCTTCTTTTTCTTCTTCTTCTTCTTCTTCTTCTTCTTCTTCTTCTTCTTCTTCTTCTTCTTCTCCTCCTGTTCCTCCTCCTCCTCCTCCTCCTCGTTATTGCTGTTATTATTGTTACTATTATTAGCATCATTATTATTATTGTTATTATAATTATTATTATTATGTGGGTGGATTTAGGGCATCACCTGTAGGTCCCACTTCTTTTCTTTCCCTTTGCAGTTTCTGTCCATCTGTCTTTCTTCTTCCCTGCACTATATGACTGTTATTGTGTTGATGTGCTTCTCTTTACTTAAACTCAAGCAGGTTGGTGGTTGGCGGGTGCTCTGGTGTGGATTGCTTCTTCTTTCCTATCGAACATCTGTCGTCCTTATCTCCCCCTTCTTCTTTTTTATGTTTGTTACTCTCTTGTAACACCTCTAATCTTCTAGCGCTCATATGACTTTTTGCAGTTTCGAGCGCCGTAAAACCTCTACTAAAACTAAACTAAACTCAAGCAGACCATTATTGTGTTGAAGAACAGCTCTTCACTCAAAACCTAAAATGTCTGTGACTTCCTCAGCGGAGAGGTTAAGCGAGGCTAACGACAAACTGGCAGAGACCGAGGCAGACCGGGATCGACTGCAGGGGGAACTGACCACTCAGGTGACAACCTTGACCCAGCGCTGTGACCAGCTGGAGACTGACCGACAGGACATGGAGACCAGGCTCAAGGCAGAGATGGACGAGCTCAGGAAACAGCTGATTAGTAAGTAGCTACTTCTGAATTACTACATTCTACCTGCTCAGAACCTACTTTTGAGAAATTTGAAGTGAAAATTTCGAGTTTCACTATGTGTCAAGCTTATTCGAATGTAATTCTTTGAATATCTTGATAAAAACTCAGAATAATCTTACAATTTTGATAGAACAGATAGAACCTCGTGGTCTGAGTAACTCAAAACGGTCAAAAATGTCAGATAGAACTGTAATTTTTAGGTAGTGAAGTGGTGGGGGTTGTTTTTTCTCTACTGGCCTTTGTGTGGCATAGTTGGTTGGGGACTTAGATTAGTGTCAGAGAGTTAAACTGAGGCTGTGGGTGGCTGACGGATGCTCCAGTGTGGTTCACTCCTTCTTTCGTATCAAAGATCTATCGTCCTTATCTCTCCTCTGCCTTTTTTGCGTTTGTTATTCTCTTGTGGCACCTCTTGTCTTCGGCACTTATTTGACCTTATTGTGTTACAAGTGCTGTTAAACTCATTAAGGTAAAATTATTATGATAAAAACTGAGATTTGAGAGTGGATGCATTTTTATTTGCTCTACGGGCTTCTGTATGTCACAGTCAGTTGGGAACTTGGAGAAGTGTTCTTGAGTTGTTCAGAGAGGGGCTGAATCTTTGTTTTCTCATCTGGCTTCTGTATGGCATAGTTTGTTGGGGACTTGGACATGTATTCTGGAGTTGATGAGGTTTTTGTGGGTTTTTTTCTCTACTGACTTCTGTGGGGCATAGTTGGTTGGGGACTTGGACAAGTCATTATATTGGGTTGACCAGAGAGTGGATAAATTTTTGTTTTACTGGGTGGAACAGTTGATTAGAAACTTAAACAAGTCTCACAAAGTTGATCAGTGGCTGCATCTTTTGTTTTCTCCAATGACTTCTATGTGGCATAGTTGGCTTAGGACATAGATAAGTGTCAAAGAGTTGAACTGAGGGCAATACATTTTTGTTTACTCTTCGGGCTTCTGTATGGCATAATTTGTTGAGACTTGAGCAAACGTTACAGAGTTAGAGAGTGGATAGGATTTTTGTTTTGCGTACCAACTCATGTATCGTGCAGATTGTTGGGGACTTGAGCAGTCTTACAGCTTGGTGGAAGGCCCACAAATTATTGTCTTCCAGACTTTGGTTGGGATCGACGCTAATTTTTTCAGCAGAGTGTTTTAAATCAGTTTCGAGACATGCAATACGAAATATCTGTATAGTTTTGTGTGAGTGAATTCAATTGTTTGTCGTTTCCTTTGAATAGAACCAAAACAACGTTTGTATGGATCTTTTCTTTCAGGTCGCAGCATCCGAGAAGCGACGGCCATGTTGGAGGAAGCCATTGAGCAGGGAGATAACCCAGCATATGCCTCCAGTACTTGTACCGCAGGTGTGTGTTTGTGTGTGTTGGGGGAGGGGGGATGAAAGCTGATTCTCTTTGTCTTTGTAATGTCTTTGTCCTGTGCTTGGTCCTTATAAGAATTCTATATCATGACGAAGAAACAAATTGCTGAAAGGGACAAATTGCCTGTGTTCACAATTTCTTAATTGTGGGTGGTTGGTGGGTGCTCTGGTGTGGATTACTTCTTCTTTCCTTTCAAACATCTATAGCCCTTACCTTATGTTTCCTCCCTATTTTCTTTGCATGTTACTCTCTAGTAACGCCTATTGCCTTCGACTCTTATGTGACCTGTTTGTGTTACAAGTGCCTTAAAACTCTTACTAAAACTACACTAGGTCTATAACTTATAACATGTTTGTGTTGCAAGTTCTGTAAGACTCCTACTAAAATCAAACTATTCTCAAGCACTTATATGACCTATTTGTATGGCAAGTGCCGTAAAACCCTTACTCAATATTTGACAAGTTTTTCTATTATGCTGCCCACAGAGTACCTGATCTCCAAAGCAACCCCCGTCCTTGACTGTCTCACTCGACTGCACGATTCCTCGGCTGCCTATCAGGAGGACAGGACAGGTACAATTTGCCTTTCTGTTGACTGATAAAGAAATAAAGAAATAAATTAGTGCAAACTGCAGGGAGGTCACTGAACACACAGTTCTTCAAATGAAACACAGGGAGAGAGAGAGAGAGACAGGGAGGGGGGGAGAGTGAGAGAGAGAGAGAGAGAGAGAGAGATTTCAGCGTGTAATTTTTATGTCTTTTCTTTCTTGTGCATATGCATGAGTGGACAAAAAGTACTTTGTAATACTGCTGCCATTGTAAACGACCATAACAGATTTCTCTGTTTGAGATGAATGAAGATTGTTGTCGTCAACGGACATCGGAGCTCTTGGTCTGGGACATTAATGAAAGTCTATGGTTTATATTATGTAAATCTATTTATGTTTTTGTTTGTTTGTTTCAGTTCTGCAAGAAGTCGTCAGTGCCATCACAGGATTTGCTCATCAGCTCTCGGACTGTGTGGTGCAGGGCTACGCTACCTCCCATGCCGCTCAGATAGAGCCAGGAGAAGGTGTGTGTGTATGTGTGTAGGCCTATGTGAGTGGACATGTGTGTATGTTTATGTGTGGGCCTATGTGAGTGGATGTGTGCGTGTGTGTGTAGGTCTGTTTGCGTGTGGATCTGTGTCGGTGAGACTGTGTGTGTGAGACTCCTTCAAACGCAATTATCTCTTCTCCTTTTCAAAATAGACAAGTTTTTGTTCATCAAAAGCAAGACAGTCTGATTTCATTCTGTCGTTACACATATGATCATGGATGTAAGGCTCTGTAGATCTAACTTCTTTTTTGTTCCTCTGTTGTTTCTCTGTCTGCCTTTTTTTCAGTGCTATGTTCTGTCTTTCCTATCAAACATCTATCATCCTTATTTCCCCTAGTTTTTTATGGTTGTTACTCTCTTGTAACACCTCTAATCTGTGGCCCTTATAATACCTTTCTGTGTTTAAAGTGCTGTTTTTTCAGCCCCACCCCTGATCTTCTGATAAGAAAGATCTACACCTAGCCTTTTCAGACAAGGGCGAAAAATCTCAGAAGGCCCGTGTGCAAGTTTCGCTCGTTAAAGATTTCTTGGTAGTCTAAAATCGATAAGAGTAGGCTTCGGCCGCCACCCGTGCGAAATTCAAAATTTCCTACCAACTGAAAATATTAGGTGTATCCCGCGCGCTCATATGACTTTATGCAGTTGCGAGCGCCGTAAAACTCTTTAAAAAAAAAAAGAAAAGAAAGTGCTGTAAAAGATGTGCTGAAACTTAACTAAAATTCAACGCTGAATGACAGCTATCGTAATGATCTGTTGGTCTCCTCAGAGCTGTCCAACACATGCAGGACTTGTGGCAAGCTTGGGCTGGGACTTCTACGTGCTGTCGACGCAGGTAAGGATTGGTGAAAGGTTGATGGATTGGTGGGAGGTTGATTGGTTGATAGAAGGTTGGTGGGTTGATAAAAGGTTGGTGGGTTGAAGGTTGAGGGGTTGGACTGGTGAAAGGTTGGTGGGCAGTTAGTGGGAAGTTAGTGGAGGTTAGTTGGTTGTTGAAAGGGTAGAGGGTTGGTTGGTTGATGTGTTGAGAGGCTGATGGGTCAATGAGAGGTTGATGGGTTTGTGTTCAGTGGGAGGTTGGTGGGTTTGTGGGTCAGTGGGAGGTTGGTGGGTCAGTAGGAGGTTGGTGGGTCAGTGGGAGGTTGGTGGGTCAGTAGGAGGTTGAAGGAAGTATCAGTGGGAGGTTGGTGGGTCAGTGGGAGGTTGGTGGGTCAGTAGGAGGTTGAAGGAAGTATCAGTGGGAGGTTGGTGGGTCAGTGGGAGGTTGGTGGGTCAGTAGGAGGTTGA